ATTTCTCATAAAGTCACTAGCTTCCAATTGCTCTATTCTAATTTTAAAGGAAGTATTTTCTTCAGTAATCTTTTGGACTTCCTTTTCCTTTTGGCCAATTTTGTTTTTTAGGGCATTCTTCTCCTCATTGGCTTTTTGGACCTCTTTTCCCATTTGGATTAGGCTATGTTTTAAGGTTTTATTTTCTTCTTTTTATTTTCTTCTTCTTTCTTCTCTTTATTTTCTTCTACTTTTTGGGTCTCCTTTAGCAAGCTGTTGACTTGTTTTTCATGATTTTCTTGCATCACTCTCATTTCTCTTCCCAGTTTTTCCTCTACTTCTCTTATTTGCTTCTAAAATCCCTTTTGAGCTCTTCCAAGGTCTGAGATTGATTCATATTTTTCTTAGAGGCTTTGGATGTAGGAGCTTTGGTTTTGTTGTCTTCTTCTGGTTGTATGTTTTGATCTTCTTTGTCACCCAAGTAAGATGATATAGTCTGACTCTTTTTGTGCTGTTTACTCATGATTCCAGCCAATTACTTGAGTTTTAAACTCTTTGTTAGGGTAAGAGTCTGCTTCCAATGTGGAGAATGTATTGTTCTAAGTTTTGGGGATTTGTACAGCTGTTTTCAGAGATACTTCTAGGGACCTGTAAATTTTCACTTCTTCCAAGGTGGTATGATAAGGGGCGAGGTGTTTCCTCTCTACTGCCACAACAAGCTCCACCATGCTAGCACTCCTCCTTTCCCCAGGACCACCTCTCAGAACTGTGACCCAGATCCAAGCAAGGGCAAAGCAAAAGATTCCTGCCTCAGCACTGGCAGAGAGATCCCTGCAATCTCTCTCTGATCAGCCACTCCAGTCCCTCTCAGTCTGTGGGCCAGAAGCTCAGGAGGCTGCTGCCACCCCACTTGCAGGCTGAGACCTAGCTTCTCTCTCACCGCAGTCTCAGATTCTTACCACTGACCTTCCAAGTTATCTTTGGCATTCATGGGTTGAGAAGTCTGGAAACCACCACAGCTGCCTGTGATTCAGTCCTCTGAGGCCTGCTCCAGGTTTTCTGCGGCCTGCGCACCCACGCCAAACTGACTACCTTTCCCAGCCTGGTTCTATATACCTTTCTGATCAATAATCCAGGTTGTCTTGGGCTGGAAATTTGTTTTGCTCTGTCTTTTTGTGGGTTCTGCTACTTTAGAATTTGTTTAGAGCCCTTTTTTTAACAGGTATTTGAATGGGTTTGGGGGAGAGCTCAAGCAAGTCACTGCTTTCATTCTGCCATCTTGGCTCTGCCCCCCACCCCACATCCATCCATCTTCAAAAGTCCCATTTCTACTTTTCAAGCAATTGTTTTCTTTTTACAAACTGTTCACTATTTTTTTCATAATTTTCTTGCATTACTTTCATTTCTCCCCAATTTTCTTCTACCTCTCTGATATGATTTTTAAGCTCCTTTATAAATTCTTCCATGAGTTCTTTCTGGGCTTGAAACCATTTACCAATTTTCTTTGGGGTTTTGCTCTAGATATTTTAACATCATTCTTCCCTTCTGAGTTTATGTCTTTGTCTTCTCTGTCAGGCCAATAACTTTTTAGGTCAGATTCTTTTTATTTCTTTTTTTCTTTTTTTTTCATCCTTTTTAACCTTTGCCCTTTCTTTTAAATTTGAGTTCTGCTCCCAGAGTGGAAGGGGCATTTTCTCATACTTCTTGTGCCAGTGGCTGCAGGATCTGGCTCTTTACCTTGAGCTGCCCTGATGTTGCCCTGAGGCCCATGTGGGACCCTTGTATAGATTGCTAGTATTTGTGGATTGATTGAACTTGTTAATTAAGTAGTGACATTGTTTTTGAGGGTTCCCCTTTCAAACAGTGCAAATATGATGTGAGAGTGATGAGGAGCTAGTAGCAATTTCTATTAGCCCACCCTAAGAGCAAATAAGCACCTTTCAATTGTATAAGAAATATGGTATTGGCCCCCCTCAAAAAACAAAACAAAACAAAACAAAACAAAACCACTCACTCCAAAGCTCAAAACAAGGCTTCTCTAAAACATCCAATTAAATTAACTGAGGGGCATGTTATTCAGGGTCCCAGATACTTGAAGCTTTAGCTGTTGCCTCCATGTTCAAAACCTGGATCATGACCTCAATGGGAGGGTCCTATTTTACTGGCTGTGACAGAATAATACAAAAATCTCTCCTCCTCCTCATACTGGGAAACCAATCACTCACATTCTCCTCCACTGAGCAGCAATTTCTGTAAAGGGAACAGCTTGTATCCCTTACCTTCACCTCTATACCTAGTCTCATGATGCTACCACAGTCACAAGTGTTAAAATACTTAGATGTAGATCTGCTTGTGGGGAAAGGGAGCACCCTAACCAAGAAATAGAGAACTTAAGCACAGAGTTTAGGGCCCCTAGCATATTAGACCCTTACCTATGAAGTTCATTACATTCAGGAGTCTCTCTAGAAACTCAGGCTGCACTCTGTATTCTTGGTAAAAGCAGCAACATAGGCATCCACCTTGGATCATTAAATCCCATGCAGTGAAATTCTACTGTCATCCTGAACCCCTCATGGGTTGCTTCCCTAAATGCCTCCCTTGATTCTTCTGACCAGTTTCTGTGGCCACAAATTTCCCTGAACAGGTTTGGGGTATCTTTTACCACTAAAAATACTCCCTGTACCATGGGGGGCAAGGGGGCCTGCCCTAACAAATCAAGGATCAGACCCTGACCTTCTTCCCAAATAAAGGCAATTGTAAACATATATATTCAATTTCTGGGATATCTTGGGAATCCCAGAATGTCCTCTTGTTCCCATGCTTGTAAGCACTCTATTCATTGAGTTTCATTCACTATACCTGGAATTCATCCTCTAATACCCACATCTTTGCAGTTGAATTGCTCCCTTCCACAGGACTGTACTTTTTATGCTTCTCTACTCTATATCAAAGCATCCCTCCCTTCAAGGAAGCTCTCAGCACCCTTGTCTAGACTATGCTGGAATTATCCCTATTTCCAGAGTACTACTCCACTGAAGTTCCTCTCTAGGTAAGATAGTCCCTCCAGTGATAGTGAAGGCTCACTTTCATGCCATTGACCTCTCTTGTCCCTGACTAGTGCCACAGCCACTTTGGCCCTCCTGTACCCCTTTCAGGAATGTCTCAGCTGAGTTAACCATGGCTCTGGAGCATGGTGATAGGCTCATCACCAGCCTCCCAATGCAGGTTGACTCACTTGCCCTCCTGGGCAAGTTCACCAGGTTTTTGACATCCTAACTGCTGAGCAATGAGGATCATGTACTGACATTGGGAAGGAATGTTGTTTCTAGGTCAACCAGTCATCTCTCATACAGGAAGATTTAATGCTCTAAATAGGCAAGAAAAAGACTTACAGAATAGGGGCCAAAACATTCTGAACCAGATCTCCCTCTCATCTTCCTTTGATGTATTCTCCTAGTTACCTAGAAACCTTGGCAGTATTCTCCCCTCTGTCCTGTCTCCTCCGAAGTTTTTCCTCCTTATTTGCCTTTCCATCTCTTTTGGTATTCATCTTATATCTCAGCTATCCATTCTTGCCTTACATAAAATCAAAACCATGTTTCAGGTACATGTACCCCCTTTCTCTGCAGTGCCATCTCAACCTTTGATTGGAAATAGGAAATATCAGGGGATTTATGATTCTCATATTAATTAATCTGATAAGTTGTAATGATTATACTATCTAGATTTGTTGGAACTCCTTTTTTTCCAGGAGATTCTGACTTTGGGAGCCATAGCTATAGGCAACATGGTACAACAGAAAGTGATAAATCAAGAACTCTTGACATGCCAACAATTCACAAATTCCTGAGCTTATAAATGCCAAGTGCTCTGCTTCTGTATCCAACTGAGCAATCACAAGACTGAATGACACTTAAAACTTGAAACAATCAGCTTCAGAATTATCATAAGGTGTGGCAGCTATGTGGCGCAGTGGATAGAGCACAGGCTCTGAAGTCAGAAGGACCTGAGTTCACATCTGGCCTCAGACCAAACACTTGACACTTACTAGCTGTGTGACCCTGGGCAAGTTACTTAACCCCAATTGCCGGAAAAAAAAAGAATTATCATAAGGGAACAGGACTGAAGAGCACCTGTATTGTCCCTAAAATGCCTGTAGCCATGGGCCTGCCATGGATACTGTTTCAAGACCAAACAATGATTGTGTCATGATCCACCCTCTTGGGGTTTTTTAGTTATATAAACTCCACCTTTTCACAGCAAGAGAAAACCCTCTCCCAAGGGAGACTTCCATAAACAAATGTCTTCCTCACTCTGAAATGAATTAAATCACTCTTTGATTCCTGACACACCTGCCTCTTGCCTGATCTGTTCAGTTCTGACTATTCCCAGGTTAGAGACCAGTATACTCTAGACTACATTTCAATTTTTTTTTGACATATATAGTTGTTTGAATGATGTATCCACCACTAGAATGTCAGCTCCTTGAGAGTAGAGATTGCTTATTTTTGGTTTTGTTTTGTTTCCTTTCTTTGTTTTCTGCCTTTCTCTACATGTAAGAGCTTAAAGCAATTAATGGCATACAGTAGGTGCTTCCTAAATGCTCATTGACTGACTGAGAGTGATTTGAGAGATTATCAGATTAACTCTTAGATTGTTAGCTCTGTTCGGGAATAAAGGAAAAGGGAGAAAATCAGACTCTATTCCAAAGAAATTGTTACAGGTTATACAGGAGTTTGAGCAACTTTGAACATTCTATTTCTCTACATCCTTCCAGTACAATGAACTTTGCAGGGGCTCAAAAGTATTTGTGTTGTGCATGGTGCCCCTTCAACAATGAGCAAGGTGCCCTTTGAGCACTCAAGACTAAGCCACTAAGTTCAGGTCAGGGCTGTGCATCCACAGAACAATCTGGAATCTGCCAAGCATTAAGTAGCTTGGGACCATACTTTTGTCCCTATATCTAGAACCCAGTATGTTGAAAGTTGAGTGACAAGAAACTCCATAAAGAGAAACAATAGTCAATGTTTAACTACTAGTGTATTTTTTGGTATTGTACAGAAATGATGCAGTAGATAAGAGGTATGTCTTGATACCACAGTTGTCCCAATATCCGGGTCCACATGAGGACTTCAAGGGTACCTCCTGAATGCCCATCTTCCTTTTTATGCACTGAAAAAAGAAAGGAAGAGTTTTAGTGGAGATAAATTGTGCTTGATTTGGATGCTTGGCTAATGGCAGTAGCAATAATAAAGTCATGTATTACTGAAATTTTAAAAAGAAAACACAACAAAATTTGGAGAGAGACCTTGGGGTGGGATAGAGATGAGTAGCATAAAGGAGAGGGAGAAAAGAATAGGTAAAGTTTCTCTCTCTCTCTCTCTCTCTCTCTCTCTCTCTCTCTCTCTTTCTATCATGGAGAATGATGCTGAGATAATCAAAGATGAGCAAATAGTTGGCAGAAAAGAATTGTGATGAAGAGTCAGATGAATAGAAAAGGGTAAAGAGCTGTAAAAAAAAACAAATTGAGACTGATATGATGTCAGTTGACAGCCAGTACATGTTCAAACACGGACATTGGTTCACTAAGAGGAACAAAGAAATACCTTGGGGGTGGGGAGAGTAGATGCCTTACTTACTGGCCACCTGGACGGCCTCCCTGTTGGCCACTTGGATGGCCTCCTTGCTGGCCACCTTGCTGACCTCCTTGAGGGCCACCTGGATGGCCTCCTTGCTGACCACCCTGCTGACCCCCTTGCTGTCCACCTGGAGGATCTCCTTGGTGGCCACCTGGAGGTCCAAGTTTCTGGTTACCACCTTGTTGCTGGCCAGGGTTCTGATCATCCTGCTGGGAGCCTAATGGTTCTACATCTACTGAATCTTCTGAATTTTGTTCATCCTCTAAGGGAAGACAGCACCGGTATGAAAAAGACGGATGAAGAAAAAGCCTGAGAGGCAGTGGATGCAAACAGAATGTTCATTATCATAGGCTAATTGTCCAAAAATAGAGTCCTTGCTACCTTCCCAGTAGTGATGAATGAGGATGACCCAGACTTACATGGTGGATGTCTAATAAGGCTACAAAAGATACAGGCTTGTCTCAGGCTCAAACTAAGGCTGTACAGAATTATGTGACTGATGATCATATAAGTGATTGTCAGGGAACAGGCCTAGCCTAGATTTATATAATGATAGTAGCAGAAGGCATTCACAATTTGCTGTATCAAAAAGAATGAGTTATCCCTCTATATGTGTCTTAGTCACTCATGTTTCTTACATGTGCATCTGCTTATTTGTGGATGCCCACATGTCCCGTATGTATTGATACCTCCTACATATTTCTTTTAAAGTTCCAATCGTCTACTTAGTGTATATGAAGAAAAGTAAATTCAAGCTCCATGAGACTGTGAAAGTATTTATTTTACATCATTTTTTTTTTGTATTCATTATGAACTGTGTCCATCAGTCAATATTTCTTAAGTGTCTAAAATGTTCCAGATCCTATGACTGACCGGTACAAAGTAAAAGATCTCAGTGGAGCCACCACCCCAAACAACTTCCTAACATGATCATAGATTCTCTGTGTCCCCCACTTACCCTCATCAGTGAATTGAGCAGAGCTCAGGCCCAACAGGGCTACTGAGAAGAGGAGCAGTAACCACTTGGTAGCAGCCATGGTGTCAACGTTACCTGTGATGCATGGACTGAGGGCAAGGACCTCCAAGAACAATGTCCACTTTGAAATGTCACACTCAATCCCTTCACTGAAGGTGTTGTTCATGTCCAGATCAGTCTCATCCCTAAGTTGTGGTTGGATTCAGTTTGAGGTCTGGCAAAAGCTCCTGACCAAAAAGTACTGCCAGATATAAATTTGCTAAAGCTTTTGATGCCGCCTTGCCCAGAAACCCCAAACATAATGTTGTGATTACAATAATGGGTAATCTTCCATCTTGTGATTTCTCTCTCCTACAGAAACCCGGACACCTTCAGGGTATTTTGATATCCTGTTTTTCACATGCCATTTAAATGTCATTGACTCATGTCCTTTCACTAGCTTTCTTCCAGTACAGGGGATGAGCCAGTGAGGTCAACATACAATGGAAGGATAAAATAACAGAAATGAAATCATTAATAGCAGTTATTGTACAGGCAATCTCCTGCCCCATCTCCTCCTATTAGAAGCTACATAAACATCAGCAGGTGTACTGTACTCTTTGGTCACCTAGGGATGCCAGGCTTTATGGGAACAAGCTACTATACCTCTTTCCATCATTTTTTCTTCATCAGTATCTTAAATATTTCCCCAAAATTAACTAAATTAACTTCAACTGAATGTTTAGTATTCAGAACCATTCTTCCTCAAACCTGATGTGCACCTCCATCCTCCTTCCAATATGCTGCTCACCAAATGCCTCTTAACTGAACTACTGCTCTAGGTAAAGGGGCTTTCCCTCTGTTATCCTTTTGATATCCCATCCCCAGTTGACTCAGCCCATTCCCTTCCCAGATTCATAGGTTCACAGGATCTACTTTGTAGACTTAGAGTGGGAAAAGATTTTAGAGGCCATATAGTACAATTCTCTCATTTGACAGTTATGAAGCTGAGTAGGTGAGCTGACTTGTCCATGGTCAGAAAGTAGGTAGCAGAGCCAGGGTGCCAATGGCTACCTATCAGTTTCTCTAGTGAGGGAGAAATGATTCATCATTTATTATCCAGAACTGAGATTAGTCATTACAGTTAATCACAATTGAGTTTTTTACTGACATTACTACAGTCATTGTGCGTATTGTTCTCCTAGTTCAATTTATTTTTCTCCATGTTGAGTTCACAAAATTTTTCTTCTGTTTCTCTAAATTTATCATAGCCTTCATTTCTTATAATTAAATAAGTAGTTTGTTATATTTATATGATCATAATTTGTTCAGTCATCCTCTAGTAGATGGGAATTTATGTCATTTCAACTGTTGTTTTCTACAATTATAAACAAAGTTATGAATTTCTTCCTAAATATAGGATAGTTCCTTCTAACTTTGACCTCCTTGATCTATATGCCAAGTAGTGAGATTGAGAAAAAGGATATAAACAAGTTATTAACTACTCTGTATTAATTCCAAATTATTTTGAAAAATATGTGGACCTATTTACAGCTTTACTGAAACTGGAAAAATGTGTCTGTCTTCCCACTGTTGTTCAGTCTTTTCAAATGCATCTGAGCCTTTGTGATCCCATTTGGTGTTTTCTTGACAAAGATACTGGAGTAGTTTGCCATTTCCTACTCCAGCTCATTACACTGATGAGGAACTAAAGCAAACGTGGTTAAGTGACTTGCCCAGAGTGACAGAGATAGTAAGTGTCTAAGGCCAGAATTGAACTCATGAAGACAAGTCTTTCTGATTCCAGACCCCAGCACTGTATCTACTGCACCACTTTGCTGCCTATTATCCAAGAAAAAAAACCAATCTGCATCCATTTTTAAATAACTTTATGTTTGAGAATTAAAAGGCTAAACTTTAGAATTCTTTTCATTTACAATCATCTTATAATTAATGAACAATCTTTAAAATGGTTGTAGATGCTTTGAAATTCTTTGGAAAAAATGTTCAATTTCTTATTCTGGGAGACATGTTTATTTTTACTGAACTGATTTTTTTTTTAATTTTTTCATTCTTATTCTCTGTTACAGAGGATGTCCTACTGGGCAAGGGAATGGTGAAATATAATTGGAAATTCAATTACTCAAAAACAAAACATATGAATGTATTTTTGAAAGAAAACAGTTCATGTGCACTGTTGCCATTTAATTGAGGAATATTCTTGGTCATCTATTGGTCTCTGTCTGATATATGACTTAGACATCTGATTATCTGAGATATCTATTTGAAATGTTTTCCTGAGGCACTATTTGTCTTTTTTTTTTAAGTTGCATTTACTTTATTCATGTGAAATGTTCTACATTTTATTTACTTAAAATTTCACCATTTTCATCAAAATTGGAAAGTATAACCCTTTCTGTTTTCTTCCTTCCTTCTTCATGTATTTGTTTGCTTCTTTCTTTCTTCATTTCTTCCTTCCTCACTTCTTTATTTCATTCCTTCCTTCTTCCTTCCTCCATTCTTCTTTCCTCCCTTTTTAAATTCATACTTCCTTTCTTATTTCGAACGAGTAACTTCTTAGTAGTTTAATTTTTATGTCACTAAATGTATAAATTAACTTAAGTGGTAAAGTTATTTTTATCAAATTGGTATTCCCTGATGTTAAATAATAAATATATCTTTAATTATTTTCCTTCATTTTTTATAAAGAAAATTTCTAGTGTTAGTTATATAAAACCGAGATATGTGTTTATTGGCTAACTTCAAAATATCTTTTGTATTTTATAGATATGCTCAATGGACTTTGCTTTTCTATAATTTCCTCCTATTTTTATTACTTTATAAGAATGGCTAGCTTTATATATTTATTTTATATCTTTTTTCTTTACTAAAACTAGAAAAGCTCTCACTTTTTCTTATGATTGTATGGAGTTCCTAAGTAAATAATCATGTCTTCTACAAATGGTGAATTTTTTGTACTTTACAATTAAAAATGATTCTTAACAATAACACACAAAATATTTCCTTATACAAGGTAGAAAAGAAAAAAGAGGGTAGTTTGTGAAAGTATCAATAACTATTAGGTACAACTTGCTTTAAACATGTACACACATATATACATGTTACATGGTTATATAATAAATTTAGGAGGAAACATTTAAAGTTGTCCTATTGTTTGTTCTTTGTTAACTTCCTTCTGTCTACTGTTGTGCAATTTAAAAGTACATTTTATTAAACTCCTTTGCTTTCAACGTCGCCAAAATTATTTCTCCCAGTATCAATTTCCTTCTGTGAGAGCTCTTCCATATAATAAATGTTTTGTAAGGAAAAATACATAGAAGAAGAAGGGGAAAAATCAAACCTGAGCATTATATTGAAAAAAATTTAAAATATATAGAATGTACCTCATTCATATGGCTTCTACCTCTACAAAGAAGTGGTGGGGATATTTTCTCATATCTCTTCTGTGGCTCATAATTGTTTTTTTTTTTAATTTTATAATATGGAGGTGCAACCAAGATGCTGAGGGGAAGCCAGGAAGTTGCCTGAGCTCTAAGTTTCCCTCTGAAAAAATATTAAATCAAGTTTCTAAAGGAATTCTAGAGCAAAAGAACACACAAAAAGATGGAGGGAAACAATTTTCCAGCACAAGAAAACTTAAAAGGACTTCAGGAAAGGTCTGTTGCACTTCTTTTTTTTTTCTTTTTTTATTAATTTATTAATTTTTAGTTTTCAACATTCACTTCCACAAGATTTTGAGTTCCAAATTTTCTCCCTATCTCATCCCTCCCCCCACTCCAAGATGGCATGCATTTTGGATACCCCTTCACCTAATATGCCCTCCCTTCTATGACACTCCCCTTTTCTTATTCCCTTCTCCTATTTTCCTGTAGGGCAGGATAGATTTCTATACCCCATTGCCTGTATATCTTATTTCTCAGTTGCATGTGAAAATAATTTTTAACATTTTTTAAAAAAACTTTGGGTTCCAAATTGCTTCTCTTCCACCCTCTCCACCCACCCTCATTGAGAAGGCAAGGAAGTCAATACAGGTTATACATGTGTAGTCACACAAAACACTTCCATAGTAGTCATGTTATGAAAAACTATATTTCCCTTCATCTTATCCCAACCCCTATTTATTCTATTCTCTCTTTTAACCCTGTCCCTCCACAGAAGTGTTTGCTTTTGATTACTCCCTACTTCAATCTACCCTCCCTTCTGTCACACCTCCCACTCTTTTATCCCATTTCCCCCTATTTTCCAATAGGGTAAGATACATTTCTGTACACAATACAGTATGTATGTTATTCTCTCCTTAAGTCAAATCCAATGAGAATAAGATTCACTTATTCATTCTCACCTTCCCCCACTTTCCCTCCACTGTAAAAGCTTTTTCTTGTCTGTTTTATGTGAGATAATTTATCCCATTCTACCTCTCCCTTTCTCCTTCTCCCAGTATAATCCTCTCTCAACCCTTAATTTTATTCTCCAGATAACACCCTTTCATTTTCAACTCACCCTGAGCCATCTATCCATCCATCCATCCATCTATCTATGTATCTATGTATCTATCTATCTATCTATCTATCTATCTATCTACACATACATATAATTTTTTCTCTCCAACTACCCTAATACTGAAAAAGGTCTCATGAGGAACAAATAACATCTTTCTTTAAAGGAATGTAAACAGTTCAACTTTAATAAGTCCCTTATTTCTCTTTCCTGCTTACCTTTTCACGTTTCTCTTGAGTCTTGTATTTGAAAGTCAAATTTTCTATTCAGCTTTGATCTTTTCATCAAAAACATTTGAAAGTCTTTTATTCCATTGAATGACCATTTTTTCCCCTGAAGAATTATACTCAGTTTTGCAGGGTAGATGGTTCTTGGTTGTAATCCTATCTCCTTTGACATCCATTATATTCCAAGCCCTCCAATCCCTTAATGTAGAAGCTGCTAAATCTTGTGTTATCTGGATTGTGTTTCCAAAATACTTGAACAGTTTCTTTCTAGCTGCTTGCAGTATTTTCTCCTTGATTTGGTAACTCTGGAGTTCATCTATAATATTCCTAGCAGTTTTCTTTGGAC